CTCTCCTCCTCTAGCAAAGCCCTCTCAGCCCTCAGCTCTACTTCTAACCTTCTCTCCCTCTCGACCAGGTCATTTATTTCTGACTTGGCCGAGTCAAGCAGGAGATTCAGTTGGGAGACCTGGTTGGTTGGCTCGATGAGCGACTGGCCAATCTCTTCAGATAGGACTCCAACCTGGAAAAGAAGTTTGTCAGTTAGAGACCGGGCTAATAATTAAGCCGGGCGAAAAAATAGAGATGGCGTACCTTTTGGAGTCTTCTGGTCAATGCAAGAAAGGCTTCTTCTACCGACTCCCCTTCCAAGTCAAGCGACCCGGTCTTCTTCTTCTTGCCCCCTTTGGAACTCTTATGAGAGCCCTTCCTTTTCTGGCCCTTAGCACGGGAAGAAGAATGGCTGGCCTCCTTGGGCTTGGATTCAACCCGGTCGCCTTCAGAGAAATGGAGGGCTGAGGGTGACTTCACCTGTTTGTCTCGAATGAGGTCGTCAAAGGAAGAGCACCGAGCAGTTGAGGCCCCTTCAACTCCAATGTTTTGAGGAGGGGAGGGAGGGTTGCGATTGGGAGACCGGTTGGAATGGAGGACTTGGACATCATCGTCATCATCCTCAATGATGGTGGTCATCCTGTTGAAGTTCATGTCTGAAAAAGAGCAGAGCAACTAATGACCGGTTAGTTCTTAAGCCTTGTACATAAATAAAGAAAATGAAAGTAAGAAGCTCAAGAGAAGATGATCGACCTGGACGAGGAGAACTGGCCTCAGCATGACCATCCGGGGAGTTTGCCCGGTCATCTTCTGTAACGCCCCGAAACATACCCTAGAATTATTATTTAATAATTATTCGATTAAACAAATTTGTTTTGATTATTATTGGGCTTTGGGCCGATATGAAATATTTTTTAATATCCAATATCAAAATCTGGATAAGTCTAATCGAGATAAATCCAATATGTGGACTATTTGTGTGGTCTTGATTGGGAACCTGAGTACAGACCCAAATCAAGAATAAATAAATTAATTAATTATGATGTGAACTTTGTAATGAGTTATTGAAATAAATCATGAGAATAATTGATATGAATTAAATGAGAGAACCTTTTATGAGAAAGGTCAATTAAACCAATTTTGACTCTGTTAAAGTCAAACACCCAAAAATATGATGTCGGAAAAAGTATTACAAATAATTATGAAAA